TGCATACGAGCAGCGAGATATTAAAATTGGACACCATTCTGCCTCTGATATTGGGGAACAATCACAGATGGCTTTGTGTAGAATGACTTCTATGACAGAGCAACAAGATGTACAACTCCAAGGCTGTTAAAAATAAAGCCACGTACAGTGAAGCTGGAAGTGCTATGCAGACAACAACTTTAAAGTGAACAGAGACTAAGTCAAGAGACCGCCACAGAGAAAGACATCACAGAGGACACCACGGTTTCCTGAGGGTTGTGGGGGGAGCCTGGTGGTGGCAGGGAGCTCATTCATGGTCGTCCACCTGTCCTGGGTGCTGAATCCCTACACTGCTCAGAACAGTCCATTCTGGGACTCACAGCTAGGCAAGGAGAGATGGTCAATCATGTTGTAAACATACTAAATAACAGGACTTCAAAAACGTTGTAAATGTGGACTGGAGAGATGACTCAGAGGTGACAAGCACTTCCTGCTCTTACGGAGGACTGGGATTCAAGGTTACAAGCACTCACATTAGATGGCTTACAACCATCCGTAATTCCAGTTCCAGGGGATCCAGTGCCCTCTTCAGGCCTCCATAGGCATCAGGCACGTGTGCATTATGTATGTGCAGACAAAACACTCATACACATGAAATAAAAATAAATCTTTTTTATTGTAAAGGCACGTAATTCACTCCTTTAATACTCAGCACTCAGGAGGCAGAGGCAGACAGACCTCTATAAGTTCAAGGCCAACCTGGTCTATATAGAGAGAACTATCTAGAAAGACCTTATCTTAAAAAAAAAAAAAAGTTGTAAATGCTAGAAGGAAAAGAACAGGATGGAATTATTAGGAAGTCCTGGTCAGGCTGGGGTGGCCACTCCTATAGTCTGGATGATGGAAAAAGTGTCTGTGAGAAGACAGCATCAAAAATGGGTGTGAAAAAACCAAATTGAGGAATTTGTAGGGTTTGAAGGGATCTTGCACAACTTGATGGAGACAAGTTCTGAGTGTCAAGGTTATCAACAACCTTTTTTAGGGTCTGGAGGGACAGCTCAAAGGTTAAGAGTACTGGCTGCTCTTGCAGAGGATCCAGGTCCATTCCCAGCACCCATGTGACAGCTCCAATTCCAGAGGATCTGATGCCCTCTTCTGGCCTCCTCAGGCACTGCACACACACAGTACACATACATACACACAAAATACTCACATACATGGAATGGAAACAAAGAAATAAACCCCTTTTTTAATTACCATTTTCAGGTATTTCTGGTTGTTCCTGTGGTTTTTTTAGACGTTTAGGAGCCAGCTCATATGAGATATGCGTGGTGGTTAGCACTTGGCTCTACAACATGAGAAATATTTTAGATTTTGTTTGCATATGATGATTTTTTTAACCTACTTCTTCAGCAGAACAAATGCCAAGCAGAGGTTAGAAAGAAATGTTAGCATGAATGTAAACATCAACTTCATGAAGATTCAAGCAAAAGCAGGCCCTTTTTCTGCCAGAACATTTTTTTTAATTTCTTATCTGCAAAGGTTAGATAAGGCATTCACGTAACTGTTGGGTTGGAGACCCAATAGCCAAACTCTTGAAACTAACCTAACGGAGAAGAGAGTGTCCCTTGGTGAAGACCCCACTGTGTGTGCTGGAAGTGAGTAGGCTAAGGCAAACTGAGGGCGCTGGGGAAGGATAAGTATTCTCGAAGAGGCAAGAGTGCTGAGGAAGAGAAACTGCAAACAGATTCGTGAGAAGCTATTGGCTGCCTAACACAAATAGCACTTCTTTGCCTCCTGCAAAGGAATCACACCGACTAGTTCCAAGTGCTTTGGGTTGCTGTGCGCATGGCCTCTGTCTAATGAGACACAGTTTCCAGCCTGTTGGATTTCACACTGTTCGGTGCCAGCTTGGCAATTTGTTTTGAATCAAACTCTAAAGCCTGTTAACCTGGTGGGTAAGTCTTCTGGGTGGGCAGCCAGAATCCTGCATGGTATTTCGCTTCTCTTAAAGGAAAAAAAAAGAAAAAGAAGAAGATGGTGGTGGCAGTGAGGATAAAGAGTTCAGAGGTGGGCACGGTGGTGCACACCTGTCATTCTGATGATGTGTCAAGGGGCTGAGGCAGGAGAATCACAAGTCTAAGGCCACTCTGGGCTTACATAACAAGACCTATCAAGATGTAAGGGGAGGGGAAAAGGGAAAGAGGGAGAGAAGAAGGGAGGAAGGGAAGGAGGGAGGGAGGGGGAGAGAGGGAGAGAAGAGTACAATCAGGTTGTTGTCTTGACATTTTGAGCCCAGCAACAGGGTCTTAGCACATAGTTGCAGTGGGTAGCTAAGGGGAATGGTGAGAGCCTGTGTTGTTTTGGAGACCTCTGGGGCCTCCCTGAGCAGTGTCTTCTATGGAGGGATCCCACGCCCTGCATGCCATGTTTCATTCAATACCTCATGCCTCCTGGGAAAAGCATTGTCCAGCCATGCACAGTATTTCCATTTGAATTCTCTTTTGTTTAAACTGTGGTTTGTAATTACCTTATCACCTAGCAAGCAAGACACTTTAGTCCAGAGCAAATGAGCTCCAGGGGCTAAGAACTCAGAAACAAAGTCATCCCTGATGGCTAACTGTGACTGTCAGCCTGATCAAGGTAAAGAATGCCTCAGGGATTCATGAAGCCCACCTCTGGGTGAGGCGATACGCCATTTCCAGAGACAATTAGACCATGAGGGCTCTGCCCTACACTAGGGGATTATCCAGTGATGGGTTTATAATACAATGGAAATGCTGGGAGGCAGTGTAAGGTAGGAGGTGGGGGTTGGGTTTGAAGATGTAGGTCAGTGTAGGTGTGTTCTTATGGCTGTGTCTCCCTGTAATCCTTTTCTGTGCCCTTTTTTTCTCTGCTTCCTCTCCACTATAAGATGAGCTGTTCTGGCAAGCATCCCTGCCACCATGATACACTGCTTAAGAAAATGGGACCAAGTTACTATAGACTGAAACCTTGGAAACTGTGAGCCACAATAGCCACCACCCCACCACCTCACCCCCGTACCTGAAGCTCTGTCTGTACCAGATGACAGCAAGAGCAAAAGTAGCCAACACAGAGTCTAACCTTATGCTTGACAACGGTAAATACCCAAGTTCCCCAGGGGCCAACGAGATGGCTCCGTGGGAGCAAGTGCTTGCTGCACAAGCCTAAGGACCTGAGTTCGGTCCCCAGAACTCATGCAAAAAAGGACACAGTGGCACTATAATCCCAGCATGCCTGCCTACCTACCACCTACCGCAAAACAGGAAGTGGAAACAGGAGAATTACCTGGAAGCTCAGGAGCCTGCTAGCCCAGAGTACACAGTGGCAGAAACAAGAGAGACCATAAAGAGAAAGGAAAAGGCTTCATCAGCTTTGACATCAGAAGCATTGGATGGTGTAGTGTAGCCGGCTGGGCACCCTCACTCCACAGAGGGCCAGCGGCAAGAAGGGCTATTTCAAACCCTTCCCTCAAGGTCAGGAGTAAGGCAGAGAGGATCTATCTCTATAGGACTAAAATCTCTCTCCTTCCTCAGCATCTACTCCATTGAGAACGGCACAGAGCTAATCGGCCCCCCAGGCTGCTGAGACAAGACAATGAAAGCTGCTCTCTGTCAGCATATGAAACTGAAATGACAATTATCCAGGGCCTGGGTGGGATAGCAACAAATGCCTTTGACTTACAATGAAAGAGAAAGGCTTCCTAGCTTAGAGAGGTCGTGAAAACAAGCATGTGCGAGAGGGGTTACAGACTTTAACACACATGCCTCATGCGAGAGTGTGTGTGTGTGTGTGTGTGTGTGTGTGTGTGTGTGTGTGTGTGTGTTTCAAAGCTGCAGGAGCTCAACTGTCTATTGATTTTCTGACAAGCCGCATGGTCCTTTTCAGCTACTTTCAAAGACAGAAAGATGACCCTGAGCAGTGGAACACTGTCAAGAAAGTTCTGGAAGTGCACACGAGGAAGCACTGAGGACTCAGCATTGGTGACTGATCCCAACAGTGTCTGCTCACAATGTAGCCAACCCTCCAGGCACCATGGTCCCCTGGGCTGAGGCCAGAAGCTGCAGAGCCCATTGGTTTTAAGCCAATGCGTACTAATTGAAAAGTTGCAGCCCAGAGAACTAGGAATTTTCATAGGTATTTTATCATCTACTCTCTTAAGATCTGGAGCAAATGCAGACTATTTTGAAGACTATTTCCTTTATAGTTTGTATCTGTTACTTTGTATCACTGTGAACAAAACACCTGAAAAAAACACAATGTGAGAGAGGCAAAGTGTATTTGGGTTTCAGAGGGATTTCAGTTCGTGGAGGAAAACACCCTCCACACATGGCAGAGACCACTCACATCACCACAGACCAGAGACAGAGGTATTGGAACAGGGCCAGGCTACAGCCTTCAAAGCTCCCTGCCTCTGGACCTCCACCAACTAGGCCCCACCTCTAAAAGTTCCACAGCCTCCCTATGTTCAAAACATGAGCCTTGGGCTGAAGATACGGCTCAGTGATTAAGAGCACTGTTTGCTCTTGCAGAGGATCTGCGTTAGATTCCCAGCCCCATATCAGGTGGCTCACAACCACCTGTAACTCCAGCTCCAGGGAGATCCACCCCCTTTGGCCTCTTCAGGCATGTGCACATACCCACACATAGACACACACATATATACATATATATACAAAGGTAATTCAAAATAACTTGTGGGGTAGGAGAAATGGCTCGTTGGTTAAGAGCACTGGTTGCTCTTGCAGAGGACCCAGGTCAGTTCCCAGCACCCACATGGTGGTTCACAATCATCTGTAACTCCAGTTTCAGGGGATACAATGCCCTCTTCTGACCTCCTTGGGTACCAGGCATGCATATAATACACAGACTTACATTCAGACAAAATATCCATACACATAAAAATTAAAAAACAAAAACATGAGCAGACTCTGGTGAGGTGTTTTATAGGGCCCTGAACTCCCCACCCCTTTCCCTATTGGTCCTGTTTAGATACCTACCCCTGTGTCTTTCTGCCATCACTCCTTCGAATGTGTTCTGGGAACAAAAAACTGCCATCTCAGGGAAGCCGCTCTCCATTTCACTGTCAACCTATGTCACTCTGGCTCTCTCTCAGTACCTTCAGCATATGAAGTTGCAGCCATAATGCAGGACAACTCTGAAATCCACACACATGAGATGTTGTTAGTACAATTCCAAGAACTCATCTTCTTAGACCGTTTTCCTCAAATACTTCCCAACACAGTCAATCAAGTCCCTCAAATTGACACTGTCACCCAAATTAAATCAATACTTCTTTGCAAGAGTGAAATACATATTTCATTTAATAACCAGCTGATTTGAGATTTGCAGTGCTGGCTACTGTGACCAAAAGGCATTTCTCAATTATTTACATTTAACCCTACATTATTTCCATCTTTGTATGAATTGCACTCAGATAAAATGTGAGCATCTAATTGAATTCTGTTTTGGATCGCCTATGACATATCTATCTATAGCAATTTCCCGGGAGGAAAAGACCATCAGTCAAGAGGGTGGTTACAGAAAACACTTATCAAGCACTTTCAACACACCAGACTCTGGGTTTGAGCCACGGTGCAGGTGGCTTCTCTGTGCCTTGGTCATGTCATGGTTGATCTCTACTGTTAACTTGACTAGATTTGGAATCACCTACAATGCTGGTCAGGCACACTTGGGTGGAGGGTGGATATTTCTAGAGTAGTTTGACCTTCTGGCCTTCTAGGGATCCTGCATGTACATGACACACATGGAGAATATAAACTCAGGAAGTCGCACATACATACACAAACCACACACACACACACACACACACACACACACACACACACACACACACACACACACAATTGCATGCTTTCTCCAGACCCAACACACTGTACAGACAAAGTGTGTTAAACTCGAGGAGAAAAAAGCTCTGAGTCCACAGAACCCCAGTCACATGATTTCTAGTCCAAATCTTGTCCAATGTCTGTACACCACAGCAGAGCACCTCACGTTGGAATTTTCTAAAACCATCATATTGAGCTTGGCATAATGGTACATGCCTGTAATCCCAGCACTGTGGAATTCAAAGCCAGCCTGCACTAGAGAGATCAAAACAAACAAACAAGTAAACCAGTAACACACTCTGAATTTAACTTTCCAACATCCCATAAATGACATGTCAGCAACCTATCTCTTAAAATTAAAGGTAAAAATGGGAAAATATGGGTATAAACATTTTAGTGTCTTGTATCTCAAATAATTATACAGTAATACTATGATAATCTGACAGCAATTGAGAAGATAAAAAGGCATGGTAATCAGGTATTGTGCCTGATGTAAGCAGAATGGTGCCACCTAACACCCTGCCTTTCATGTCACGGTTTCACTGCCTGGACACCCCCTCCCGATAATGAATATGCTATTAAGGATGGTTACATTTGTGTGTTTCTATTATAGCCATTTCTCAATAAATTTCTCTGACTCCTTTCATAAATATATGTCATTATTTCTCATTTTTTTAAAAAAAATCACCTTCTTCTTTCCTGAAGGAATGTCATATATGAGACGACCCTTCCCATATAAAACCATAAACAACAAAGGGCCAGATGATAAGAAGCCACATAAGCAGACAACAGGACACGGGATGCAGTTGGGCAGACGTAAGGCATTATGGGTATGTTGACGTCTTCAAAAGGAATATTTTACAAAGCAAAAAGAAGGTCTAGTTTTACTACAGCATGAGACAAGTCCCAGATTTCACACAATTTATCACTGATGTCCTCATTCTGTTGTTTTCAATGTGCTTTTAGGACATGCTGGACAACTAGTAAAACCCGTATACAATGCAAACGATGTTTTAGATAAGTTTTATTGACTTAATGCTCTGATAATAAAATTATAACAATCAGTGTTATTCTGATTTGTTGCGATTTTTTACTTTCACTTTGTAATGGACTCGGAGCACGGCAGAATTGAATGTGATGCTGCTGCCATCTCAAGGTCACTCACTGGAAATGAGATGGCTGGCTTCAGCCTACACACACTCACGCACATAAGTAACCACGGGCTTTATGGATGGAAATATCGCTCTGCAGTCACGTCACAGTAAATCTAACCTTTTATTTGCAATGAAACCATGGGTTTTATATGCAATTTCCAGTGAAAGCATATTCCAGTAATGCTAGTGTGCACCGTGAATGCCAGGTCCAAGAAGAAAAAAGCTGTTAGACCGCAGTATGTGGAAAGAAACGTGGGTACAGCAAACTGAATAATCATCTGTGCATAGCTGCCACGTTTGGCGTGGCTTAATCCAGATGCAGTGGCTTCTTTTTAAAAAATGGTACATAAGTGTGTTTCTCATTTATAAAGCTTCCTTGGCTCTTTCCTTATTTCCAGACTTTCTGTGTTGGTGACCTCCATGAATTTGACACTCCCTATCTGGATTAAAGGCGTGCGCCACCACCGCCCGGCGATCTACTTATTTTTGTTTTGGGCACAGGCAACAAGTGCAGATGCCCGCAGAGGCCACAAGAGGGCGTCAGACACCCCACCCCACCCCGCAAGCTGGAGTGACAGGTGGTTGTGAGCCACCTGACAAGGATGCTGGGAACCAAACTCAAGTCTTCTGCAAGAGCAGTAGGAACTAGCTCTAAACCACTGAGTCATCTCTCCAGCCACAAGTCTAAAGTTTTGTGAACAGACTCTCCGAGATCAACTTTGGATAACACTGGTGTTGAAGGTAGAATTATAAATCAGAAATGAAGGAAATGTGTCCATATTATATTTCCAAAGTTTAAAATGCCTATTCCTTCTAATCAGGAATCCCCTGTTCTAGCAATTTATTCTTCCAGCACAATGTACATGTGTCCCAAGACACATCTACAGGGTAACTCACTACAGCAAGGGGTTGACAATCAAGTAAGTGTCCCTCTACACAAGACTTGTAAAGGATGGTGAAGCCATAAGTGGGATTCTGCACTGTCTTCGCAGTCAGCTCTGTGCATACCAATATGGCACCATTTCCCAAATCATATGGCTGAGTAAGGCGGGGGAGCAATGTGAAAAACAGTGTGTATGTGTAGTGTGTATGTACTTACAGAGTCTCTGAGAAAAATACAATAAATCATTAGCAATGATAGTGAGTCTAAGGGAGACCACATTGTCACTGTGTGTCCATTTCTGTCTTGAATTTTACACTGTATATGCTTATTAACGACTCAGAATGTGTAAATAAAAATAAAACCTTTTGAAAACTGCATCGGATTGCAATTCATCATGGAAGTCAATAACTGTGAAGAAAAGACAAAGGCGGTTCAGAAGGGGGAAGAAGAGGCAAGAAGCATAGGGACAGAGGAAGGGAAGACTGTCGGCCAGGAGCGGGTCTTCCGAAAGCACTGTGTTCCGGTCCAGACTGAACCCGCGTTCCTTCCTAGTCTCCCCACTTTCTCCCATCTCCTCCCCACCTCCTCTGATTCGCCATCCATTTCCCTTCTAGTCATCCATCCACATTTCAACTTGTCTGATCCCTTGTGTTCTGCCTGCCTCTGAGGAGCCTCTATCGTCTTCTCCACCAGGAGGCTCGGAGCCAGCCCTCCTGCTCCTGGTGCCAGTACATGGCCGTGCTTGCCAGGTACACACTTCGTGCACCCTGGACGTACAAAGAGTGTGAAGAAGCGGCATGAAGATTAACAGCCCCATCTGCCATCCGCCCTCTACTGGAACTCAAAGTAGTCTGCGGAGTTGTCTGTGGAACTCAAAGTAGTCTGCGGAGTTGTCTGTGCTTCGCTTCCTTAAGACGCCACAGCCCTGAACTTATCCTCCCATTGATCGAACGGCGGCCAGCATGCAGGAGGACGTACCGGGGAGGTTGAGAAATCTAGAGAAATGAAATGCCACAAACTTGGGACTCGCAGTGTTATGCACGAATTCTGAAATGTCTCCCACATTTTTTAAGTTTTGGTCCCTAGCTGGCAGTGCTATTTTGGGAGGTTCTGGAAACTTTAGGAGGTGGAGCCTGGCTGGAGGAGAGCAGGCCTTTCAAAGGTATATTTATCCCCCTCCCTCTCACCCTTCCTCTTCCCTACTTCTCCCTCTCCCTCCCTCCCTTCCTCCCTCCCTTCCTCTCTCCCTCTCTCTCTGCTCTTCCTATTAGCCCTGATTCAAACAGGTATCCTCTGCCACAAGATCCCCCAGCCATAATGCTCTGCTCAGGTGCAAGAAACCAGGCAACCATGAACAGAACACTCTGAAACCGTGAGCCAAAATGAGTCTTTCGTTCCTGGTTCCTTTCAGGCATTTTCGATCATAATGATACCAAGGGAACAAATACATACACTCACACAAATGGACCAGGGTCGCAGCAGACTAATTAAATGTCTGTGTTGGAGATCTCTGCAGAGGTGCCAAGGCCCAGCAGCAAGGAAGAGAAGAGGGAGGAGAGAGGTGAAGCTCCTGACTTCATGCCTTTCCTCTTTTATTAAAACATCTCTTGATCCTTCTTTAACTCCTTTCAATGACATGTCACTAACAGTGAAGCCAAAATTCTATTTGGTATTTTGTACTAACTTGAAGTCCACCAAACGCCCATCTGAACACTTTTGTAAGTCACAGGATGCAGCATTTCATAAGCACATATACTTCTGCTACCCAACTCTCCCACACGCTGATTGACTCTCTTTTGTTACTAATTTAAAATGCTACAACTCAGAGCTATCCCTGTACCAACCCAGTGTGTTTTTACAACTCTCACCCACTTTAAAAACAGCCATGTCATTTTCACTACATTTGGAGGTTATTTGAAAAGCTAGAAACAGAGGCTGCAGAGATAGCTCAGTGGTTAAGAGCATGTTTTGATCTTGCAAAGGACCCAAATTTGGTTCCCAGCACCTGTATCAGGTGACTCACAACTGCCTGTAACTCCAGCTCCAGGGGAGATCTGATGCCCCCTTCTGGACTATACGGGCACTGCACTCATATGTACAATCTCTCTCTCTCTCTCTCTCTCTCTCTCTCTCTCTCTCTCTCTCTCTCTCTCTCTCTCTCTCTCTCTCACACACACACACACACACACACACACACACACACACACATTTAAAAATAAATATGAAGCTAAATCTTTAAAAAGTTAGATGGCCAGCCATCAAGTTTGGTTTC